ATCAAATAAAGGCAAAAATAGTCACAAAAATAAAAGCATGCATCAGTGTGTTAAAGTGCACAGAGGAAGCGTCTCTGTTAAAAGAGGAAGGATGTGGTGATGAGGAGCAGCAGCTGATCAGACCCCGACTCAAACCACAAGTCGAAAGCATTTCAAATGCTGCTGTTTGTGGACCTCAGTTAGCCCGACCAGCAAAACGTATAAAACAGTCAAATATAAAACAAGCAGCTTTAGTTCCATCATATTAAAGAGAAGGCAGACATCTCTACAGCTGACAGCAGAGGCCACAGGAAGAAGCCGACCTCTTAACCTTTTAACTTTGTTTATTTCTGTTCATAAAACCTGTCCATACTCCGTTAATAAAGGTTCTGTTTCCACTCCCTGCTGACGCCCGTGACAGTAAACGAGGTAGACATGTCTCCTCAAGGACAAGATAAGATTTGAGCAGAGACACTCAGATCAATGAGAGAAGCTCAGGAGTGAACGAAACAGAGTCATGCAGGTAACTACGGCTCTGCCACTTCCTGGATAACAGCCGTGCTGCTCACCTGGAGTGTTTGGTTTGGAGACTGGATGCTGGCTGCACGTGGTAACCAACAGTGTACACGCGCAGGCGCCTACACCCAGCACAAGGAGACACAAGGTAACCACCTCGTTTACCACCACTGAAAGTCACGCGGGGATTCACAGAACCGTAGTTACCAATGTAACCTCCCTGACATTAACTCACTGCGCTGCCTCTAATCAAACTCTCTTCATCATCGTGGACACAACAGTGGGCTCTGATGAAATCAGGGTGTAATACGATGGATGGGGATGTGTAGTTATGGCAGGTTAAATTTTGAGACTGTACCTTGTAAAACTTCAGAAAAGTTCATACGAAACTCCTTAGCTCTGGCTGCGTGCAGAGATAACACAGAGAGAAGAGGAAGAAGAGGAGGGAGGAAGACAGAGAGGCCACAGGAGGTTAAAGCATTGCAGAGTCACTGTTCAGATCAGCACAGTCATTACAAAGAGTTTATGGCTTTACAGTGGAACACCTCCAGCAAAGTGAGAGGCTTTTATTGTGAAGGGCCGGCATGTAAACACATCACATATGCAGCGTTTACACAGCAAATAAAGATCCTGCTGCACAGAGGAGACATCAGCCTGTAATGCTTCACCATCCACTTTGCTTTCAGTTTGCTTCTTGTCCGAGCAGATTGTGAAGTCAGAGACTCACAGACCTTTTCTGCTACATTCTTCTCTTATTTACAAAATGCAGTTTGGTTCATTTAGTCAGCAACAGACTTGTTTTTGTCCCCGACCGTGTTTTAAACCGGTTTGCCCAGCGAGTCATGTTACTGAACGATGCTTATCAGCATTAGAAAAAACAAACCTTCCAGGACACACACACACACACACACACACACACACACACACACACACACGTTGCGTGCTAGCTGCAAAAACAAGTACAACCACAAATTCTGCGACTCTGCCCACAAAAAGCAAAAAACAGCAGCTGTCCCCAATAAAGTTGTTTGTGCACTTTCCCACCACGTCAGCACACCTGACTGATTTATGAGTCTTTGCTCTGTGCCCATCAACCTGAATCCAATCTGGGGACAAAGGAAAACGTGGCAGAGCGGTGAGGTGGCGAGCGAAGTGCTAGCGTTCACTTCATTTATAAACATATGTTTTTTTGTAGCTGGCTGTCGGTCACTAGCATAAAATCCCAAACTCAGTTGCCTCGTTAACCCTCTAATGTATTTAATGCACCCT